ATAACAAATATTGGCAAGAATGTAGAGAAACTGGAACCCTCACAAATTACTGGTAAGAAATGTAAAATGGTGCAGTCACTTTAAAACCAGTCAGGCAAATCTTAATCTAGAGTTTAGCATATAACCCAGCAATTTCATTTCTAAGTAAAATTATCCCCCCAAAATGAAAACATATGTCACATAGTAACTTGTATGTGAAAGTTCACAACAGCATTATTCATAATATTCATAACCCACATGTTTATCATCTGATGAGTGAATAAATGAAAGGTGGTAAATAAATAAAACGGAATACTATAAATGGAATGAAGTGTAGTTATATGCTATCATATGTACGAACTTTAAAACCATTATGCTAGGTCAAAAAGCCACTCATAAAATACCACATATTACATGAAATGTCTAAAATAGGCAAAATCATATAGACAAAAAATAGACTAGAAGCTGTTTAATGCTGAGCTGTGGAATGGGGAAAGTTGAGTAATCAATTTCTCAGTGGAATAAAAATGTTAAATTGATTGTGGTAAATAACTAAAACCCACTGAATTATATACTTTTAAGTAATGAATTGTATGGGATACAAATTATATCTTAATAAAGCTGTTTAAAAAATGCTCAACAAATAAGCCATTACCATACTTTTAAAAAATTACTCTGAAGAAAAGACAAAGTCAAGAAAGAAAAAGAAGTCTTTAATTTTTACTCATAGAAAGACTTATGAAGATAAATTACACATTAACAAAACCTAGAAGTAGGAACAAGATGGCCTACAATGATAATGATTAAAGAACTCTGAAAACTTGAAAGAAGGCAGGCTGGACTGCCTAAAGACTTTAGGACTTGAAGAATGGCAATGAAGAGAGATTCTGAGATTCCACATATGCTGGGGTGGGCACTGGAGAGGCCTAAGCTTGAAACAACAAATAGGCATAGTCAGGATTTAAAAGTCTGTTTTCTCTGGCGAAAGGACTGGGAAATGAGACGCACAACAGAGACTACACAGGTAGCTTCAATCCTAGCTCCTCGATTGGGTACCAATTGGTCAATTTGCCTTTCCCAACAGCTTCAAGTACTTGTGTGGCAACCCAGATTGTGTTCCACAACCAGAAAACTGATTGTAGTAGCATCAGCAAAAAAGCCCTAGAAGAGCCGTCCAAGCAGTGACAAATCTACTTGGCCCCTGCTCAGCATCGAGGGCACCAGCAAGTGGACAGATTCACCTGCCTCAGCTACACCTGGGGACTCCTGGCCCTTTACCCAGGGGCACAAGGCTATTTGGGCCAGAAAGAAGTGGCACATTACCTATAGTGGAACACAAATTTGAGCTGACAGGGCATTTCTCACCTGAAACTATGGAGGCCTGAGGAAGTAGCATAATATATCTTAGTGCTGAAAGAAAACAACTGTCAACTAAATCCTATATCCCACAAAACGACCCTTTAGGACTGAAAGCAGTATAAAATTTTCACACGAAGGAAAACAAAGAAATTTGTTGCTAGCACACTTACACATTAAATGATATGTAAAAAGAAGCACTTGAAACAAAGAAAATGAAGAAGAAGGCTGGGACATTCAGAAAGGAAAGAACAATGTAATAGACAAAATTGAGGTAAGTACAATAGACTATCCTTCACCTCAAGGAATTTCTTTAATCAAATTTTGTGGCTGAAACAAACATTTTCATACAATGTGATATGCTGCTCAATAAACATAGAATAGTTAAAGTTTTTACAGGACACTCTTTTAAGGGTGAATGCTTAAACTATAATACAGCATACCATGGAGTACAACTCAGCAAGAAAAAGGAATAAACTACAGGTATATGCAACAAATTGGATGAGTCTTACGGAAACTATACTGAATGAAAAATAAAAATGCCAATCTCAGAAAGCTAGGTATGGTTCCACTCATTAAACATTCTTAAAATGACAAAATTTAAGAGTAGACTATATTAGGAATTGCCAAAGGTTAAGGACTCAGATAAAAGGAGTGGTTGTGATTATAAAAGGGTGACCCAAAGGAGCCTTATGGTAATATAGTAACTCCATTTTGATGATAGTTACAAGCATATACATGCACACACACACGTACATGTATGCAATTATTATTGGTAAAATCTGAATAAACTAAATTGTGGTATTGATTTATGGCGAACAACTGGTTTTCTTTGGGGGGTAGGTAGTACAAAAAATAATTTAATAAAAACGATGGTGATTCAAATTTGAGCAAGCTTCCTTACTTGGTAATGCTTTGATCCACATCATACATCTCACACAACTCCATTACAAAACAACACTTGGAAGTCTGTGCCTAGTTTCTACAAGACTTATTCAACTGTGTCTTGCCTTTCACTGATTTTATTCTATATCTTTTTATGGAATAAGCCCTAAATGTTAACAAAAACAGCTTCTGAGTTCTGTGAACCTCTAATGAATCATCAAGGCCAACAGTGGTCATAGGGACTTCTGAAACACCTTCCTTGGAGAGCAGAGATTGTCTGGATTTTACTACTCTCTGTTTACTTTCCCAACATTTGACAGACTTTAAAGCACTATCAATTGCATAGATCTGTTATTAACAAAATCTGATCTAGCCAATAATGACCCAGCAGCCACTGAAACTGAAATGTCAAGCAGAAAAATGCACATCTAGGGTATGGGTGACACCTATATTTCATCAGTCCACTTTACCCAGCCCTAGCAATGGATAGGGTCATGCCAGGAATTGCCAACTGGTTGAGAGGGTGCAAGGGAACCTCATCATTTTATATACTACCACATCCAAGCTTCCAATGGTATAGGAATATGTTAGTTTCCAACAGTTTTATTTGCAAATCCTCCTATCACCACCCTCTCAGAATCTGTGTACAGTGCTTGCTACAAAGATAAAATCTGCCACATGGCTATAAGAGATCTTGCCCTCCAGCATCTCTTGGCTAGGATGTGGCTCCACTTGGGAGACATGGTGCAGATAATTTAGTGGCAACATCAGAAAATGATTTCAAAATAAAAAATAACTGTAGAGTGAATTCTCTATAAAATTCATTCTCAGTCACTTTGAATGAGCTTTCTTTTTTTTACTTAAATTCTTTTATTGGTACATTTTAGGCATACAACACATTTACATTTCTCATTGGGAACTTGTACCTTTACATGATGCATCTTGGTTCTTATTTCTTTCCCCATTCCTAGCCCTCCCTTCACCCCCTCCACCCTTCCCTGTTTACAAAGACTTTGTTTCCATTATTTTCATTTCTCATAATTTTTTCTTTCCCTTCTTTCCTTTCCCCTGACCCTCCCACTACCCCTACCCCTACCCCTTTGGACCTTTTCTTCCTACTTTGCATTATCAATTATTCTGAATGAGCTTTCTTGAGTAGGAAAGAGTTGAGGTATATGGTAGGCCAAAAACTGCACGTAACTACAACTGGCCTTAAATGTGTCAAACATGAAATGACTGTTTAAATTGATGATTTTGTTAGCCATGTGCCTATAAAATGCTTTGCTGTTCTCTGGCTCCTGTACCCCTACATCTCAAGTCTGTGACCTATTATTGTATTATCTAAGAAAAGGCTTTGAAGATTTATCACCCTAAAGAAGTGGTTCACACATGTGAAATGCTATATAGATGATAACATGAAGGTCTTAAAATGGCTCATAGACACAGCACTAGGTAATATCAAGTTGGAATGTCCCTATTTTACTATTTCTTATCTTTTTGTGGTACTGGAGATTGAACGCAGGGCCCTCTCACTGGGTTACATCCCCAATCTTTTCTTCATTATTTTGAGAAAGAGTCCCCCTAAGACTCTAAGCTACCCAGGCAGTGCTCATACTTGTGATCCTACTGGCTCAGCCTCCCAGAGTGCTGGGATTATAGGCATGTACCACCATGCCTGGCTTTACCATTTCTTAAAGTAAAACTGAATATCTCAAATTTGTACAGACTGTACATTTGGATAGCACTATACTCTAGCCTAAGATAAAGGTCGAATCCCTATCCTGTGGGTCTTAATAGTCCAGTGAAAATTTTCTATCACATATTAACACAAAGATTTTATGTTTTGAGAAAATCTTCACATTTTATTAACAAGTCTCTCACATAGATTCTCATCTATAAACTACTCAGGCTAATTACATCTTTTGCTGGAGACTAACAGGAGTCAGAGAAATAGTGCAATAGAACTGAATGGACCTGCTGGCTTACCCTTTCTCTCATTAAGAGAAGCATTCCTTGGTGTGTATGTGTGTGTGTTAACAAATATACTTTTTAAAATAAAGGAGCATTTCAATTTGTAAGCATATACTCTATAAATGCTGATGCCATTCTTATTAAATGCATGTTAACTGCTTGAAATCCCAGGCACACATTCAGGTTCATTTCCTTTCTCCTCAGGCAGTTTTCACAATCCACAGCATTTTCATTTTAACAGTCCTCATTACTGGTATCATTTTATACTTGAAAGTTTGCTCAAGTCGACATCAATCTTGCCGATCCTACAAACACTTATTTTGTTGACACAATATAGTCTATCCACCCATACCAAACATAAAAATTTAAAAACCATTCCTTGCCCGACATGTCACCAAGTGAAAAAACAACTCTATCAGTGACTCAGTCCTGTCACAGTGTCACAGCATGGGGAGACACCAAGAACAGGGCTGTTTATGGAATCCCACTATCTTCAATAACATGTTATCTGTCCTCTTGCTCCGCGTATGCCCTGCAACTTCTCAAAACTATGTGATACCTTAAAGTCACCTATTCTGGAGAATATACTTACCCAAAAGATATATTCTTAGACACGTCTGATTCCTGCTTCCTCATTAATAAATAAATAGCCCTTTACCACAAATAACTTCAGTAATCAGAAAAGGACCAAGCCTTTCCTTCAGAGGGAGCAAAAAAACCCAAAAACCATTTAGCATAAAATTTTCTCTTCAGTTAAGCTCGAAATGTCTTTGGATTAGTCTAAACTAAGAAATACAGTATCTTCTTACCTGATTGGAGAATCTCATGCTCACATTACGTTGATTCTGTAGTGGGACATAGCGCTGAACAGGATCAATGTCTCTAGGACTGATTAATTTGTCTGCTGAAAAAAAAGTAACACAAATAATATTATTATAGGCAGTTAAATTAGATAGAAATTAATATAGAGTCAGGCCTGGGCTGTCAAGAAGTGAGAAGAAAAATAAAGACATCAAATTGTTGCTAGAAGTGCATCTGAAAAAGACTAGGCCTCAAGATAAAGATGCAATGGCCAAGCCTTCATGCCTAAGAGATAAACAGTAACTTGGAATTATACTGTAATTAGTACCACCTGATCCAGGAAGTACAAATAGGCATCAGTTGCCCAGGTGGGTGACTAAAGCATCCAGACCCATTCCTTCCCCAAAATGGCTTTGTTCTTTCCATGCACCCTTGCTATGTAACCTGCTTCCCTTTTGGAGCAATATTAGCCAAGCAGTTATACTTGTAATCCTATAGGTTGTGGTAGTTTGACCCATGTTGTACCCACACTGTTACTTTGCTGTATAAATTATTCCTGATAAAGGGCTTCAGTGGCAACCCACTTTCAGATCCCCTCCTGTCTCTTAGGAGATATCTCTCTCAATAAATTTTTCCTACCCTTAACCTCTGTTGTTCCTTAGAATTCATTCTTTGATTTCGGGGAACATGAATGTGGCGTATCTGACATCTAGCAGATTGGGAGTTACATTTTTCCCCTATATCAATATTACCAGAAATATAGTTACATGAAACTATAAACTAACTACAGTACAGTGGTATTATGGTTTACAAACTTAATTTGTTCTACAATTTTGGTGAAGATGGCTGCACTAGTGAGGGTAAGATGGCCAGGTCGTATTTGTCACCTGATGTGGAATTTGCAAATGGAAGCAAAATTTTGCTGAACACTTTTGTTTGCAAATTGGATTGTTTGCAAACAGAAGAGTTCATGAACCAAGGTATTACTGTTTATGTAAGAGATACCTATAGAACACTTAACAAGAGAAAAGTATTCCATTTTCTCAGGACACACAGAATATCCTCTAGGATATAATTTGATAGGTCACAAAATAAGCTTCAATAAATATAAAAGGAATGAACTACTAAAAATGTATGTTCTCTCATCAGAGTGGAATAAAATGAAAAATCATAACAGAAATTTTAGAAATTCACAAATGTGGAAATTTTAAAAAACACTTTTATAAACCAATGGCTCAATAAATCAAAAAAGAAATTAGAAAATACTTTTGTGGGTAGGGGTGCAGCTCACTGGTAGACTGCTTGTCTAGCTTATGTGTGGCCCTGGGTTTAATTTCCAGCTCCACAAAAAGAAGAAAGGAAAATACTAATGTACTTTTGATGAGATGACTAAAAATAAAGGACATAACATAGCAAAACTTATGGGATATAAAGTAATACTCATAGGAAAATTTTAGCTACAAATGCCCACATTAAGTAGAAAATCTCAATCAACAATCTGTATTTCCACCTTAGTAGGCAAAAATGAGCAAACTAAATCAAAAGGAGTAGGAAGGAAATGATTAAGAATGAAAATTAATGAAATAAAGAAAAAATAATCGAGGATATAAATGAAATAAAAAATAAGTTCTTGAAAAGCTTAACAAAATAAACCTTTAGCTAGACACACACACACACACACACACAGATCCAAAATTATTAAATAGGAATAAAAATTAGGTACACATCACTGCTGATCATAAAGACCATAAGAGACTAATATCAACGGATTCATGCCAACAAATTAGCTAAAGAAATGAAATGGACAAATTCCTCGAAAAAAACAAACTATCAAAATGGACTCAAGAAGGAACAGAAAATCTGAATAGATCTATAAAAAGGAGCATAAATGAAACTTCACATACACACACACCCACAAGCATGCACGCACGACATGCATACATACACACAAAAGGCCCAGGAACATTCACTGATGAATTCTACTAAGTAGTTAAGGAAAAATTACAACCAACCTATCACAAAATTTTTGGACAAATAAAAGAAGGAACACTTCTTAATTATTCTAAGAGGCAAGTATTTCTCTAATATTAAAATCAAAATCACAAGAGAATAAACTGAAATCCCTTATGAATACAGGCACAAAATTTTTAAACAAAATACCAGCAAAAGAAAGCCATAACATTAAAAAAGGACTACATACCATGACCAAAGAGGATTTATCTCACAAATGTAAGGATGGCTTAACCTTTAAAAGTCAATAACATATCAATAGAATAAAGGACAAGAATCTATATTCCTATCTCAACAGACACAGAAAAAATTAGATATATCCTTTCAAGATAAATATCTAATCATGTGAAAAATCATTAAACAAACTAGGGATAGAAGAGAACTTCCTCAGCTTGATAGAGGGCATATCTATGAAACATCTACAGCTAACATCACATTCAACAATGAAAGAATCAATGGCCTTTCCCAAAGATCAGGAATAAGACATAAATGTTCACTTTCACCATTTCCACTCTCCGTTGTACTAGAAGTTTCAGTCAGGCAAATTAGGCAAGAAAAAGTAACAAAAGGAATTCAGATTAGAAAGGAAGAAGCTACCGTAATCAAGACACTGTGCTATTAGAGTAAGGATAGATGAATGGATTGATCTGTCAGGGTCCAGAAATAAACTGTTACATTTGTGGTTAACTTTTTTTTTTTTTGGTGCTGGGAATTGAATTCAGGGCCTTGGGCTTGACAGCCAGGCGCTGTGCCGCTGAGCTACATCCCTGGCATGGTTAACTGGTTTTTGATAAGGGTAACAAAACAGTTCAATGGGTAAAAGAATATAGTTGTTTTTTTTTTTTTTTTCAAATAGCACTAAGACAATATCCAAAAGCAAAAGATGAAGGTAGATCTCTTCCTCCTACCATATACAAAAATAAACTCAACAACAACAACAATAACATGAACAATAAATCTAAGAGCTAAACTGTAAGACTGTGCTGGTTAATCCTGATTGTCAACTTAACTTAATGAAGAGATTCTTGGAGGGGTGACTGGATTGGGAGGGTACTAACTCTATTAATGGTATTAACTTCTTCACTGGCAAGAATAAGGCTGAATGGATGATTAGGAAGTGGGGCCTAGTTGGAGGAAGCTGGTCATAGAGGTGCGATCTTGGGAAATATATCTTGTCCCTGATCTCTTCTTCTCTGTGTCATTTTCCTGCTCTCTGCTTCCTGGTTGCCCCTAGATGAGCAGCTTTCTTTCACCATGCCATTTCCCCATGGTGTTTCTACCTTGGGGCCAGCTCACTATGGACCTAAACCTCTAAAAACTTGAGCCAGAATAAACCTTTCATCCTTTATGATGTGGGTATCAGGTGGTTTTTTTTTTTTTTTTTTTTGGTACCGTGGATTGAACTCAGGACCTTGCACTTACAAGGCAGGCACAGTGCCACTGAGCTAAACCCCTGGCTTGGTATCAGGTGTTCTGTCCCAACAACAGGAAAGTTTACTAATACACTGCTATGAGTAAATCTTCGTGACTATGATTTACACAAAATTACAACAACAAAACACAAGTGATAAAAGAAATTAGATTTCATAAAAATTGTAATTGTTTGAGACCAAAGGATACTATTGAGAAAGTAAAATGTCAGCCCACAGAAAGGGAGAAAATATCTGAAAAATATGTATCTTATGAGGGACTTGAATTTAAAATATACCAAGAAAAATTACAACTCAACAATAAAAAGACAAAACCAATTTAAAAATAGTTAAAGTTGGGCACCATGGCCCATGCCTAGAATCCCAGCTAGTAAGGAGGATGAGGCAGGAGGATGGTAAGTTCGGGTCATCTTGAACAAGTTAGTGAAACTGTCTCAAAGTAAAAAAGGAAGGGCTGAGAATGTAGGATGTAGCTCAGTGGTAAAGTGATCCTGGTTCAATCCCCAGCACTACCACAAAAAGAAAGGAAAGAGAGAAAGAAAGAGAGAAAGAGAAAAAGAGAGAAAGAAAGAAAGAAAGAAAGAGAGAAAAAGCCACAATATCTAAACAGATATTTTTCTACAGAAGTTAAATAAATTACCAAAAACCACATGAAAAGATACTCAAGGACATTACTCATTTGGGAAATGCTAATCAACGCCATAATAAGATACCAATTAACACTCACTAGGGTCGCTGTAATAATAAAAAATCAACAGATAGGTACAAGTGTTAGTGAGCATGTAGAGAACTTGGAACTCTCTTATGTTGTTCATGGGAAAGAAAAATGATACTGCTGCTTTGGAAAACAGTCTGGGTGTTGTTCAAAATGTTTAACAGACGTAGCATATAACCTAATGAACTCCTTTACTAGGCCTATACCCAAAAGAAATGAAAATTTGTCACAAAACAATTCGTACATGAATATTCACGGCAACATTATTCATAATAGCCAAAAAAAGAGGAAACAACCCAAATGCCGGTTTTGAGGAACGGGAAAATAAAATGGAATACTTACATACAATGGAATGTTACTCCACAATAGAAAGCAACAATTTGCTGAGTCAGGCTGTACCATGGAGGAAGCTTGAAAATGCTAGTTAAGTGAGAGAAGTCAGCCACAGAAGGCCGCATATTATATGCCTCAGATACACGCAGAGTCCAGAATGGGCAACAGAAAGCACATTAATGTGGGAGGTGGGGGCATTAGGGAAGTGATTAGAGAGAAATGGGGAAGAACTGCTAAAGGCTAAAAGGTTCTTCTGAGGGATTATGAAATGTTTTGAATCAACTGTGATGGCTACAAAAATCTGACTATACTAAAATTGTTGAATTGTAAACTTTAAGAAAAATGTATATGAATCACATCTTAATAAGCCTATTTTAAAAATAGTATGTTTAAATTGTTAAGGAGAGATGTGCTTCCTAGTGCTAAATTCTAAAAAAAGATTTCTGAAAGGGGGCATTTTTATCAGGCACTGACGATCATGAGGGCAATGTCCTCCACTGCTACCATATTGTAAATGTAGAAGCCCTTTTCATGTAGTTCCTTGTGGCAATTTTTGATAAAAACCCAAGGATATAACAAGGAAGGCAATGTAGAGAGGAAGGATGAGGATAGAAA